TTATTCCTGTTTCAAAGGAGCAGGTTTTTCTGGGTTACTACTCTCATGTTTTCCTGGTTCCCAAGCCTGAGGATGGTTCAGGATGATATTGAATTCAAAGAAATTAAACAGATTCCTTCTGTTCAGGAGGTTCAGAATGGAGAGTATTTACTCAATTCGAAGAATCGTACAGAAAGATGTTTTTATGGTTTTTATCTCCATGTTCCTATATTCAAGGAACATCTGAGATATCTCTGGTTTGCAATACGTTCAAAGGAGGGCATTCAGCATTTTCATTTCAGGGCTCTGCCCTTTGGGCTCTCAGCAGCTCCCAGAATTTTTACAAAAATTCTGGAAGAAATGACTTCTTTCCTTCAGCTTCAAAAGATATCTCTGATTCCTTATTTGGACGGCATCCTTTTGTTCGCTCCTCAGAGGGGGAGGTTTTGATGGATTTGGAACCAGCTGCTGCCCATAAAAGTTACCACAGATGCAAGTTCCCAGGGCCGGCCTTAGGGGTGTGCGAGCAGTGCGGCCGCACAGGGCGCCATGGCAACAAGGGCGCCGTGCGGCCGACACAGCTCGTCCTGGGGGTGGCTTCTCTCCCCCTCACCGCTGGGCGCTGGCCATCCCATATGACAGCGCTCCCTCGTCCGCCCCCCCCTACTGATAACACTAAACTGATGAGCGGTAAAAGCTTTTAAAGCGTCACCTATGGTCAATTTTGGGCATGGTAATTTTTTGCGATTTTGCGGGTGCGCGCAATTTTAAAGCATGACATGTTTGGTGTCTGTTTACCCGACGTGACCCCGTCTTTTTATATTTTACCAAAAATATGGGTGATAAATGGGTGTGGTTACTGGGGGTGTAGCCACTAAAGGGTGTGGCCACTGAGGGGTGTGGTCACTGAGGGACGCTGTAAAGCTTTCTCGCACAGGGCGCCTAAAGGCCTAAGGCCGGCCCTGCAAGTTCCTGTGGATGGGGGCACATTCTCAGGATCTACAAGCCCAGGGAAGGTGGTCACAGGAACTGAAGAACGCTTCCTCAAATTTGAGGGAGCTGTTGGCAGTGAAAGAAGCCTTGTTGTCTTTCCAAAAGAGCTTGGAGGGACAGGAGGTTCAGATCTATTCGGACAATGCTACGACAGTAGCGTATTTTTTTTTTCTTAGAGCCTCTCAACCCGCTCGGGGCTATGGGTGAGTGTGCCGCTGGCCGGTATTTATAAGCCGCTTAGTGCTGTGGACGGAGCGCTGTCTCCCCGCCGCCAGTTACATGGGAGCCGGAACCCCAGTAGCGTATTTTAATCATCAGGGTGGTACCAAGTCTCCAAAACTACTTTAAGTCTCATCTAAGATTCTTCTCTGGGCAGAGAGGAATCTTCTCTCCTTGTCAGCAGTCCACATAAAGGGATCCTCAAATCTGATAGCGGACTATTTGAGTCAAGCTCCTAATCGTCAGGGAGCTTCATGTTTTCGCTCAGATTGTAGGCTGCTGGGGGCTACCAGTAGTAGAGCATTTTGCCACAAGGAAGAACAGTAAGGTACAAGATTATTTCTCTCTGACAAGGGAAGGAGATTGCAGGGGCATAGATGCATTTTCTCAAAGTTGGGACCGCCCCTTAGTTTATGTATCCCCTCATCTTTCTCTTCTTCCATGAGTGGTACAGAAACTAAGTCTTTTCAATTGCAGACTTGTATTCGCTCCATGGTGGCCAAAGAGGATGTGGTTTCTGGAGCTACACAGATGATCAGTTCAGAGCCCATGGCATCTGCCCGTGCTTCCGAATCTACTTTCTCAGGGGCCCGTACGGCATCATAATACAAGCTTTTTTCGATTGACAGCATGGATATTGAGAGGAGGATCTTAGAGAAGAAAGGCTGCTCTCAGCGGGTTATTGAGACCCTTCTTTCCAGTAGGAAACTGGTTACAAGAGAAATTTATAATAAGGTATGGAGAGTTTGTTCATCATGGTGTCTCCAGAAAGACCTCTGGATTCCATCAGTTCCAGTTATACTGGATTTTCTTCAAGAAGGTGTTGAGAAGAGATTAGCACTTAGTACCCTAAAAGTTCAGATTTCAGCCCTTTTAGTTGTTCTGGACATGAAGCTTGCAGAAGACCAGCTAATCAGATGATTTTTTAGGGCTACTGAACGCTCTTTGCCCATATGAGACAACATTGTACCACCTTGGGATCTGTTCTTGATCCTTAGAGGAATTAGTAAGGAACCCTTTGAGCCAATTGAAGAGACTTCAGTAAAGTGGTTGAGCTTAAAAATGGCTTTTTTGTTGGCTCCAACTTCTGCCAGAAGAGTGGGAGATCTTTCTGTTTTATCCATCAAAGACCCTCACCTTACGCTTCTTCCTGATAGAATAATCATTAGACCAGATCCTTTATATCTACCTAAGTTGACATCATCTTTTAACAGATCACAAGATATTATTCTCCCATCCTTTTGTTAAAATCCCAAGAATCCTGGTGAAGAGATTCTCTACATACATTGGATGTGAGACGTTGTATTCTAAAATACCTAGATGTTACGAAGCGTTTCAGAAAATCTAGTCAGTTATTTGTCTTATTCAGTGCTTTCATAAAAGGTTCTGTGGCTTCAAGGGCTACCATATCCAGATGGATAAGACAGTCCATTTCCTGGGTTTACAAAGGAAGGAAGTAATAGTCCAGGCCCTTTGAAAGCTCATTCTACTAGATCTCTAGCAACCTCCTGGGCAGAAAAGGCGGGTGCTTCCGTGAACCAAATTTGAGGAGCAGCCGTATGGTCAAATCAGGACACCTTTGTGAAGCATTACAGAGTTGAGGTCCTGTCACAACAATGTTTGGCTTTTGGCAGGAAAGTTCTTCAAATGGTTGTCCCACCCTAAGGTAGGTATTTGTATCTTGATTATCCTCTCAGGTTACTGTCCTGGAAGATGATTGGGCGAAATCCCCAGTTAGACTTACTGGTAACGGAGTTTCAGATAATCTTCGAGGACAGCAAGCCTACTTCCCACCCTTGTGATATTTCATGTTGGTGTTATCGTTTTCCTCTCGTGCACTGGTGGAGGTATTCTACTTTTATCTCAAACTGAGAGACGAGGGGGTGGGTGGGCTTTTAAACTTGGTTGATTGTGTTTCCTGTAGACTAACCAATCATCTCTCAGGTTGATGTCCTGGAAGATTCTCGGAAATTCCGTTACCGGTAAGTCTAACTGGGGATTTTTGGTTTACTTTATGGAGCTAATTACAAAAATAAATATCTAATTTTCCTCTATCTACTAAAGAAATTCATTTTTATTTGTGTCTGTGTAGCTGTTTCCCTCACTTCCTGTCTAGTAAACAGGAAATAAGGGTACATTTCTCTAGTGGGGCCTGCAAAATCTAAGAAAAATGTTTTGACTGGACTTACACTTTAGTGGCTCATGGTCCATATATTCTGTACATCTTTTGCAGTATGACTTCAGAAGTTAAGTTTATTATCTTCAGTGCTGCGTATCACTGTATTTTTAAGACTTAAAAACCTGAAGCTTACTTCTACTCCAAGCCAGTCAGACTCTTCTGCATGCAAATTTATTGGCAAGGAACATGCTGATAGAATATATGATCTCACTAATATGCTGTTGTCCCTTTAATGTGCAGTCATAGGATGGGATCAGTCAAGAGACAAACATTTATTTCCTAGCTTCCCAGGTTCCTTAGGGCCATACACATCTCCCCACCCAGCTCTTAGCAACCTGGGATGCTCTGGCAGGCATCCCGCCCAGCTCCTGGCAACCAGTGACGCCACTGGTTGCCAGGAGCTGAGCAGGACGCTGACCAGAGCGATACCTATCACCCATCCCCCACCAGCCAGATTGTCTATGTCACACACCCCAACTCCTCACCCCTCGCCAGCGAATGTGCTTCTCGCATCTACAAATGCGTGACAAAATGCACAACAAATGTGCAAAAACGTTTGTGTCACGCATTTTCAGGTGTCTCCATTGAAGTCTATGCGGCCAACACAGATATTTGCAGATAAGTGTCTGTATTTTTTCCAGCGGCAGGCATTTTGCTACAAGCGACATAACGCTCAGGTTTGAACAGTGGCCATAGATAGAAAACAATGTGATTCCTTGTGTTTAGCGTTTGTAGCTCTGAGCTTTAAGCTATAAAAATCCAAGGTGCTAACGGGGTATTAGGTGGCACAATGTGTCCTTCACAGATCTCCATGAATCAGACGCCTCGCAGACTTGCGTGTCCAAGTAATGAGTAAATATGGCTGCCTTCCTGTACATATAACATTAAAATCAAGAAAAACACACAATTCCTTATATCAAGCTCATCTATATTGCCATGTTTATCTAAAAGAATTTAAAAGAGAAGGGAATTTATCAAAACTGGAGCAGACAGAATCTAGAGCAGTCGCTCATGGCAACCAATCAGCACGTATCTTTATTTACCAATGTTAACTGAACAAAATGAAGCGCGAGGTTGATTGGTTACTATGGGCAACTGCTCTAGATTCTGTGTGCTCCAGTTTTGATAAATCCCTAAAAAAGCGGCCAAATTCTGCCTTCCCCATTGGCACCAACCCTGATGTGACAGGCTATTCTACAGCATCTGTCATTTATGGATTCCATGGCGGTATTGATTACTATTGGCTCGTAATCTATGATTTCATGATTTCATTTTATTTGAAACAATATACAGTATATATATCATCCTGCCATTATTATTATTGTCGTCTACCACACGCAACAAGACAATAAAGAGCATTCTCTCTATGCAAAAAGCACATTTGATTTGGATTATGCATATGATACCCCACAGCAGATCGCTCTTCGTGCCTAATTTAATCCTTTCATATTTGAATAAAAATAATCTTTTTCCCTTCACTTTAAAATACTTCTAGGAGAGTAATGACAAGTATTCTGCCAGGGTGGGGACAGGCAGTCAGTGTCTCTGTTCACTGTCCTACTTAACTGGTTTAGCAGGTTATCTACACCTCTTTTTTTTTTTTACATTCAGGTCCCATCACCCAGACTAGAAGTTTTGGGAGGAGTCTGCTGCCTTCTGCACAGTCCTGTCATACAGTCCTCTTGTTCTCTGGCGTACGCTGTCAGACATTCAGGTGCTACATACTGTAGGACAGAGGTTCAAGGACTGCAGGGAAGAGAGCAAGGAAACAAAGTGGCACCATGTTTAAAGGGCAGAGCAAGTCGCCTACCAAGTCGCCTACCAAGTCGCCTACCAAGTCGCCTACCAAATCGCCTTCGAAGTTTGGCAAGTGAGTATGGGAACGTCGTTGTTTGACTCTGCATAATATTTGCAGTTCAATTTTTTTAAGCTATACAGAGAAAAAAATGCTAAAAATGACTTAATTATTATATGTTCACATTTGTCTTATTGAGTTAGGAAAAGGGGAAAGTCCAGTAAGTCATAACAACCAGTCAGACTGCATTCATTTCATTGAGCTGATAACAGAACACAGAAATGTAATATATTCCAGCTTAGCAATCCTTAGATGTGGTGTCCGAATTAGTTTTCTTTTCTTTTAGGCTTTTTTTTCTTTGGCTTCACCCATTTGTCCAGCCAAGCTCTGTATCTATAGAGGAACAACGTAGCCCCTCATAGACATCAGCATTGTCAACCTGTGGAGAGGGTCGTGTTAGATAGATTCAAATTGACTTTAAATGACAAATAACACTTTTTAAGCAGTTACAGAAACCTTTTTTTTTTACTTTTGGGATAAAGGTTTTAACTAAATGAAAATACCAGACTTACTGGCCAGATCGCCAGGTGAAAATAATAGGAAAAAAGACTAAAACAAGAAAACAAATGTAGCCACCACATCTAAGGATTGTAGCTGCACCATATTACATTTTTGGTTTTGGTTTTAGATACCCTTTAAGCCTTGCATTCTGAGTCAATAACCTTCTTTAGCTCTGCTAACGATAATGTCGAACGATAGCCTACCTGACTAAATGCACATCCAGATGTTTAGAAAAGGGTTCTACTATATAGTTTTGCTATATCTAACAGAGATTGCAGATTCACATTGCAAAGTGCATGACTGTCTTGAATCTGAATGCTTGATATTTGTTGCGGCAGTCAGCACAGTATAAAGCTGTCTAATAGAATTGTATGACCCAGTCTGTCGCCATCACGCAGGACAATTTCTGACTGCTTTTAACATATCACCTAATTGCACCATAAGTGGTCTCTTTTTTTAATACCTGTCAGAAACTAACTCCTTTATAAATAAATGTTAATAAATTAGTGTTTTTGCAGAGGGCAATGTTTAAAAACCCTTAGGGCTTGGGGGGGTATATTATTTACAATTATCAATTTCTTTCAAAGATGAATCAATAAATGAAGACAATGCACGTAGACAAAGTGCGGTAAAACGTTAAGCCACTTTAAAGTGGATTTTTCACCCTAGATGTACTTAATGAACATCAAACAGCCATATATAACACATGTACCTTGATAAATATATAGATCCATGTTTAATTTCTAGCTTCAGCATTGGAAACTGCCGGCTATTTACCAGCGATACCATGCATCCCTTTGTGCTATCTACATCTTTGACAAGGCATTCCAGAAGTTTGCAGCAAGGCTTTGCAATTACAGGACGTAGATACCATGGGGGACTGAGTGGCACTACAAGCTGCATGGTGTCGCTGGTAAATGGCCGGCAGTTTCCAATGCTGATGACTGGACAACCAGAATGCAGACAGAAGTCAAACATGGTTCTATGCATTTATCAAGGAACATGGGTTATAGGGCCCTCCTAACCATCTTGCCTTGAATTGTATTGTACTGTCTCCCTTTATACTGTAAAGTGCTGAGTAAACTTTTTGCGCTATAGAAATCCTGTATTATTATTATTACAATAATAATAATATGGCTGTCTCTTGTCCACTGAGGAATTCCAGAGTGAACTTCCACTTTAACATTTCTCCCTGTGAAGCTTCTCTGTGGAAATGAAGGTGTTAAAATTGGCAAGGTTCCCATGATTCAGGGCAGTATTGGGGTGTTGTCTATTTGGAGCTTAAGTAGTGACAATTTTTTTAGGAGGTGACACTTTGCAATGAAGAACCTGATGAACAGGTAGCAAATGAATCAAAGGCTGTGAGACCCACCCAGGCAGCCTTTTTTCAGTCTGTCGCAAGTTCACAAGCCTTCATCTGCTTCCATTTTTTTTTCTCTTTGCTCTGAATCTAGCTCAGATGATTCAGGCAGCTACCCTCTTTTATTGTTTATGGTACTGCAATCAGTGGTGCAAGATACATTTCCATATCAGTGCTGATAGCTTAACTGCCTATGAATGCTGCTGACTCTTTGCCAATCAATGCTACTGACTCTTCATACACATATTATCTTTAAGAGTGCACACACAGAGAATAGATTCAACTGTAACAAGAGATATCTAATTGAATGCTTCTCATTGACGCGGTAGGACCCTCTCACCTTCAGCTTCATCACTGTAATATATTATTCTCCTTCAGTTTTAGGGGGTCTAGTTATAAATATTTTAACCCAAGGATCACACAACTTTCACCCAGGATTCACACAGTTTTCTATTTGAACCTAATTCAAATAATGTGTGCGTCTTGGGTGAAAGCTGTGTCTAGGGTCATCCCTATAATGAGGCAGCCTGGGGCAGTTGCCTCAGGTGGGATGTTATTGTGGGGTGGCAGGTTTGAGTGGTGGGTCAGCAGCAGGGGGGGGGGGGATGGCCACAGCTTCCCAGGTTGCTAAGAGCTCTTAGCACCCTGTGATGCTCTGTCTGTCTTCCCACCCAGCTCACTGGCGTCCTGCCAAGCTCCTGGCAACCAGTTGGGTCAGTGAGCTGGGCGGGATGACGGACAGAGCGACTGACAGCATGCTGCTTTCACCATTAACTAATAGCACCCCCCCAACGACCATACACTGGCAGCACCCCCGTAACTCCCCACCCCTGACTTCAGGTGGCGAATAGTGTAGGGACAGCCTTGACTGTGTGAATCTTGGGTCAAACTATTTATATATAGACCCCTTAATGTATTGAAGGGCCATATATTAATGGGTAGGGCACCCCTTAATATATTTTGTAGATTTATGCCTGTGATTGTTCCCATTTATTCAGGTAATGAATTGAAGCTTGAAGTAGTTTGAGCTTGAAGTAGTTAGTTACATTCAACAGGACTTGTTCATCATTCATTCTATCTATCTATCTTTCCTGGCGCATCATGGCAGCACTCAACGGATTAATGCTCCGCCCTTAACCCCATGGAACAAGTCAATTATAAGTTTGGGTCCCCCACACGGCATTCTTTTTTTTGTCCCCGCCATGGACGAGTCTACTACCTTTTTGTTTTTTCCCTTACCTAGCCGATTTCCTGTGGCCTCCCACACGGGGTCATGTCTACCCTGCTGTGATGCCTCTGCCTTCCATACCTTTAAACAAGGTATATCTATCTATCTATCTATCTATCTATCTATCTATCTATCTATCTATCTATCTATCTCGTGTCTACAAATTATTATACAGGATTTATATAGTGCCAACAGTTTGTGCAGCACTTTACAATATAAGGCATTAGAGTTACAATAAAAATCAAGACAAGATGGTAAGGAGAGCTACATAACTAATTGAATAACTTTAAAGGAGAACTATGGGGTTAAGGCTTTTCCCCATAGTTCTCCTTAAGGTAACGGGAGGACACAAACTAGCGTCCTCCCGTCATCCTAGGCTCAGTATACCGCGAGCTGTAGCTCGCGGTATACTGAAACGCCGCAGCTGAAGCGGATCCCGACAATTATGCCGGGATCCGCCCAGCTGCGTGAGTGACAGCTGGCTCTGCCTATCTGGAGGCAGAGACAGCTGTACCCGCCCCCTCCCCCGTCTGTTCCGCCAGTCAGCGCTGGTGGCTTGTAGCGGGGAGGGGGGAATCCAACCCCTCCCCTGTCACGGCAGGGAGCCGTGACACGATCGAGAGGTGAGCGAACGCCGGTATGTGTTCGCTCACCTCCCGATCTACTGAGCCAACCTGTGACAGTCTCATTGTCACAGGTCGGCTAGAACTATGAGGTGACTGAAAAGCACTCACCTCATAGTTCTCCTTTAACTTGTAAATGAGTAATACAATGAAAACAAATGTTTGGTTGCTACGCTTTACAGTATATGAATTGGTAATTATTAGCCTGCATCTGTTTCTAGATAGCATGTCCCCCCCGCTTTAACAATACATTGAACCGTGTTTGTCTAGGTCATGTCCTTCTGGCATATATAATTATGTGTATTGTGTGTTTGGGGAGTTGAAATGTGACGTCCACCACATATGAAAAACCAAAGTTTAAAATGCCTCAGTGGAAAAAAAGGAGTAATGATGATAACAAATACACATTTCGCCAACAAGTTGTGAATTTTATACATAATTAGCAACAAAAGGCATTGAAATGTGCAAAAGAAAACATAAAATAACCACAGTCCAGTATAAGGAATTATAACCCAATACAATAAATACATAAATCATATACAACTAATCATTTTAAATTGCCTATTTATGCAATACATTGAAACTATGAATGAACAATGAACTATTCAACTTGTACCCAAAATAAGATGTTGTAATCCATAATGCATTATTGTGGTTACTGACAAGCTGACAAGCTGAGTGAATGCTCAGCTTGTCAGTAACCAGCATAATTAAATTATGCAATAAGTGAATTGCTGCATGTTTAAGGAATGTTTTGTTCCTGACATTCTTTGTGAATGTGGGAACACCCCTTTTATAGTGTCATAAATTCTAATTAGCTAGTAGCGATGAGAAAATAATTTGAAACATAGTCCTCTGGCAATTTACTAAGATGTCTCCAGTAACTTGATGGTTTAGATCTGCTGATCTGCCTTTTTTTTTTTTTTTACTTTTTTTTTTTTTACATGTATATTAAAAACATTGTAGATATCATGGAGGTCACTAGGGGCTGTAAAAATGCAGACTGTTTTAGTACCAGTCCATATCCACTTCAGCATCAAGTGTGTGGATAAAAAAACAGGTGCCAAATATATGGGCTCTCAGCCTCAGATGAATATTGATGGGCACTCGGCTCAGGGCTGGGCTGAGTTAGAACAAGAGAGGCACTGCCTTGGCCACTGTGCTCAGGGGAGGGAAAAGCAGCTGAGCTGGGAGCATCTCTTTCCTCTGCATCATCTGCTTCCACACTGTGCAAATTGACAGCTCAGTCCAGCTCCTCTCCCAGTTTAATCAATAGAGTTCTGCTCAGTGTCACAAACGCCCT